GCCAAAGGGTCGGCCGTGGTATGACGGAAAGACACAACGCAGCGATGATAGGGAAAACACGAAGGAATACGTATACGAGAGCGCGCAGGATTATTGCTGCATGTCGTGGTGACGAACCGATGAACACGCAGTACACAAGGCAAGGCTTCCGTTGAATCGTACTTTTGAGTCGCGAGGGTGTTGCGCCTCCTGCGCTTGCAGCCCCCTCCTTCTCACCTAGGAGGGACTGGCTCTCGGGACTTTAACCATGGGAGGCTCAATCCGCAGCTATGTTCCTTCAGTTTACAGAGGGCAGCACTCCAGTCGAGCAATTTGGCGTCCTATGGACCTCGTTCACGACAAGAACAGGATCGTGGATCCACTCTTCATTAAGCGCAGTGATACATGGCGTTCGAGAAGAGCTGAGAGGTGGTGGTCCCAATGGTACTACACTTGCGGCGGGAAAAAAAAATGGAAAAATGCGTCAAGAAAACGCAAAACGGGACCCGTTTTTTGGCCTTTGGTTTCAGTCATGAACAAGTAACAGCTCGCGAAGATATGAACGAGTTCATCGCAACGCGTTCGATGACAGCATACCAATCCATGCTCCAGTCGAGTTGCTCAGTGAATGTCTGCTGGCAACACAGCTCGTCCAAATCACCAAGTTAACTTGTGGGCGGATCGCTTTTGGGGGTGGAGTGCTTCCGAAGTCCTGCTTAGCAACCAGCGAACTTTTCATCGTGGAAGCGTCACACCTCGCTTCCCTGGCAAATTCGTGTGATGCGATATGCTTCCCTGATGGATCCCTCTTATTCGTAATCGCCCTTTAGGAAGTGGGTGGGGGAGAGAGTAGTGGTAAGTAGTCTGCGCCGCGTACAGTAATTCCAAATTTTGCATTGAAGGAAAAACCCGGAGTGCGTGAATCATTTCGCTTCTGATTTTATATTCTTAAGCTCACCCTGTAGAAAATGGGATCATTGCAGGCGGGATGAGCCATTACAGCACTGTACTCCACTTCCTTCCTTTAGCGGAATGGAACCTTTGGGTCTCATTCAAACGCCGGGTGGGCACAGACCGCTTGTATTCAATTTAAATTTTCTTAGGAGAGGAGCGGTGCGGTACATGGCTACTATCCTCGGTTTACACACCCATGAATTTACCTACATCGACTGGAAAAAACTGCGTTTCTGTATGTGGTATGAACAGTTCGGTGCTAACTTAGTTGGGGGGGGGGCACGCGGCGGCGCGGCAGTCTGCTCGCCTGGCATGTTCGGAAATCCGTGGGCCAGGGGGGGAGTGTAGGCAGTAGGGGGGTGGGGGTGGGGGCAGTCACTTGACATGCGTGAAAAGCTGGAATGTTCGAGTTTACACTGTCTCGCTCGAGAGAGCCCAGGTGAGCAGACTGCCGCGCCGCCGCGTGGCCCCCCCCCCCCCAACTAAGTTAGCACCCAGTTGTACAGATGTGCTTCCTTAGTGGATTGGAGATCCCAAAGCGGGTTGTGTTTTGCGATTCTGGCCAAAGGGCGTTGTGAAAAGATGAGCCATAGCAGGCGATAGCGGCAGGACGAGTTCCTGCGTTCCCACCGTCGCTGGTGTGCATTGGCTGCAGGACTTTGGACTTGGTCTCACCACACTGTGTGACCCTTTTGGGCGGCTTGCGGTTAGTTAGCCCAGACTATAGTCTTTTGTTTATGTCCACAGCAATTCTTGTCATTTACGCTCTACTAACTAACAATCCTCGGTTTCCCGTGAACTGCAGCTTTGCGTGTCATTTGGGCTCGAATTATACCAGGGTTTGTTGTGCGCGTAGTCCGCATTTTGGCATAAAAGTGCTCATTCTTGCTTAGTTGGTTTTGTAATGACTGACCTTTATTCAAAGACAACTTATGGGCGTGTCCCGTGGAAGAGCTTGAAAAAAGGCTAATGGTGTCGAACCTATTGTTGTTTGTCATATAAAGAGCAGTTTTTGCAGTTGCAACTTCACGTTCTTTTACCTTTTTCTATCGCTTTAGTGAATAGGGACCGCTATCTCCTTAGGGGGACATATTTAAAACATGGCCATTCAAAATCCGGGGTAGGTGACACTAAAACTAAGACCTGTATGGATTATAACCACAGAAACATGGTGCTCACATCTGCTTCACAGAATCCTTTTCCTTCCCTGAGGCAGAGTCTCAAGTTCTATGAGTGGCCCACTCACTTCAATATCCCCCCTAAGGACATGAGTACCGTATATATGTAGTTCTAGAGTCGTATATTGTTCTCTTTCCTGGGTAAGGGTTAGGAAATCCTCGAATTTTATTTGCCTTCTAACAAAACTTCCTCCAAAATGACTGTAATTGTGGGATTGGTTGTATTCAAGAGTAAAAGTGCGCCGAATGCAAAAGAAATGGTTCTTTTAGACCAAAAATCGTAATAACTTCGTAAGTCAGAGTAGTCTACCCCCCCTTCCCACTCTCAGAGTCAAGTCAGCGCCGGCTCTCTTGCTAGCAGGGCGCACGGCTCTCTTGCGTTTGTTGTTTAGTCAGATTTCCTGAATGCATAATTGGCAATGCTATCATCAAATAAGTACTAGCATTTGTTCTATAGACTCTTTTGTGGGGAGCAGTGCAAAATCTTTTCGGTCGGGTTTTTGTTCTTTCTTATCAATCCGCCTGGGCGTGTACTTTGCACCTGGACACGAATATCTCATCACTTCTTTTCATACAAGGTTTTTTGACAGTGCTATTTTCATGAAACTATTTCGCTGCTCTTGGTGTTATGTGGTCGGTCGGTTAGGGTTAGCAGTTTCGGTGTTTTGCTGCTTGCATACGGAGTTCCGCTTCTTAGGGAAACTCCGTATGAGCAAGCGATGGTTTTCCCCAGTTTCCTCTATACAAAATTCGGCAGTAGCCGTTGACCACTCGACGTCAATGATCATTTCCTAGAACCTCTTTGGGGGTCGGCTCCTCCCCCACTTTCTTCACGATTTAGGGCGCGGCCGCGGCGAGCGCGGACGAGTTGGTAGTGCCCGCGAACTGTGCGGGTAGGTTTGAAAACGGTCCATTAGCACAGTTCGCGGGCACTACCAACTCGTCCGCGCTCGCCGGGCGCGCAGGGCAAATCGTGCAAGAAAGCTGGGGGACGCCTTGGGGGTGGTCTGTTATTTTATTTTTTTTTTTTGTATTTTTGTTTTTGTTTTTGTCAATTAAAACGAGGATTGCAATGCCTGGTTCACCCTCTGCTAAGGGCCAATTTCGAAGGAAGCTGTGCGAACACGAACGAAGTTGTCATTTGAGCCACCTCGGAGCATTCACGTCACTTAAATAAACTGCAGCTGGACTGAGATTCAGGCGGACCAAAGGTCTCCCTTTAGTTGAAAATAGGCCCCACTTTCTTCCTCCAACCAGCGACTTGGTTAGAAGAAACAGTGTTGTACAAACTAGCCTTTTGTCACAGGTATGTTGCGATTGGGTGGTTCTCTCCGGTCGGTTCGCTGTTTCGCCACAGCTACAGCTGCAGCGGTCAAGAAGCCGACTACAACAGGGCAAATATTGTGGCTGATCGATTTGGCTGTCAGGTAGTCATAATTCATCAGTTACTTATCCTATAATCTGAGTCTTTCTAGGACTCCATTTGCTGTATCTGGCACAGTATTCAAGGACCTCTGGGCAGTTGACCTACAAAGAGAGGCCTTGAAAGGTTGGTTGTTTTGTTTTTTTTCTTCCTTATTTCACAGTAGTTGTCTTATCGCGGATGTGGTCAGTTGGCAAAGCAGCGAGGTATAAAAAGATGGAAAGGCTCTATTTGCGCGCTCCATAGGCCCTGTCAGCGATTCCTCGCATGCGCTCATGACCATAACTCAAACACTTTTAAACGCCACCTTATAGCAGAGATGAGACAAATTTGACTCAATTGTTTTTGGTCGTTGGCTTTGATTGTGTGTCGTTTGCCACGCGTAATCCAGTCAAACTTTTAAAGGGGAAAACTTAGTACAGTGATTAATATTCCGTGCTAGAACAAATTACATGTGCATGCTTCTACCTGTTGATTGGTTTCACGGAATATATTGTTGGCTTGGTCTACTGGCTTAATTTCCTTGAACAAAATTCTTTAGCTATGTGCAGTTGGTATGCGCTAGCATTCAGCTCCATTTACCGCAGCACGGTCGAAAGTGAACCCACGGTGGTGGCCAGAACCACTTCAGGCTCCTTTCACATGCGGGAAACAAATGGAGCAGACTTATTGTAGACGGGAAAAAATGGATTTTACTATTGGCAGGTTCCTGCTAGTCCACTGTACTGTCCAATTCGCTTCATGTAGCATTACGTGATTTGTCGAATGAAGGCGCAATGCATGGCCACCCCAAAAACGCCGAATTCAAACACCTGTGAAAATCTTTCTTATTTTCAACCTTAGAAGAATGTCACCATTGATTCGAGCTGATACATCTTGGATTTCCGTTTTGAACCCTTCTACATGTTGTATGGTCTTGTTTTCAGCTTTGATAGCTCGCACTCATATTCCTTACAAGGACATCGACCACATAATTTGTGGCACTGTGATTCAAGAGTGCAAGACAAGCAATGTCGCCAGAGAAGCTGCGCTGCAGGCCGGAATACCCGACAAGGTCATGCTATCATTTATAGTAAAAGTTTGCAAACTGCCTTTTTTAATAGAATTTCCTGCGAATTGGTTGACATTACTCCGTTTCGAGATATGTCGTAGTGAAATTAGTCTGCTTGAGTCCCTCTTTATTCCAGCCCATACGGTCCTTGGCTTGCATCTCGCTCTAACTAGCGAGTGACGACTGGCATGGGATGTTGCTACTGGCACATGCGAAAGCAGGCTCATTTGCTGGTGGTTGTGGAGCGTTCCTTTAGAATTACAATCAGGAGTCAATAGAAAAGGTAATCGGGCAGTTCTCATGATCGCTTTGGTTCAATCTAAGATCGGCTTCTTACTATCATGTCAATTGTTTGGTTGTTATATAATGCTGAATCCTTCAGTATAGCATTTTCTTGGGCATGCACACGTGAATTCTTGGATTCTCGTACTTACTTACTTTCTTTATTTGTGCATAGTCACAGCGGTTGTGTGCTTGGAAGGATTGGAGAGTTTTGCACACCAGTTTTTGCATTATTCTACTTATGACTTAACCCTTTCCGGACCGCGCACTTTTTGCGCTCACGGCCGCATGCTGCGCGGCAAGCATAAATATCATATATTTAATCTGTATTCCCACTAAAGCCATTATTTTGTCTCGTTTATGTCTTTGTCATGTCTCGAAGAATATATAAGATTAATTTGACAGAAAACTGTTTTGCAAAAAAAGGGAAAGGGCCATAAAAAGGGAGGAAGGGACGAAAATTGTTCAAAATAAGTTGGTATGGAGAAAAAGGGAGTAGAACGTGCCCAAAACGATTGGGATAAGAATCAGATACGACGAGCAGGATATTTCACAAATTCTTCGTTTTTAAGTGTTTTCAAGCGAACTACAACTGTTTTCTTTGAGCCCAAAGTGGAAGTCCATTTACTCTTTGGTTATTTTAGAACCTAGATTAAACCTAAAGTCTAGGTTTTTTCATACATATGGCATGAGTCTGTTACATAGGTATGTAACAACATAAAATATTTTATCGAAAAACCAAACTCTTGGAAAAAATCAGCTCTTGAAGTTCCTGACACACCATGTGTGTCAGGCGGTCCGGAAAGGGTTAAAAGTGACGTTAGAATCGTTTGACGGAGGAATAAACCAGGTCTTAGCGCCTCCATATATTTGAGTTATTCGACACCAAAAAGCTGCTCTCTTTTGAGTTCCACTTAAATGGGCTTAAGAATCGCTAGTCACAATCGCGAAGATAAAATATTGCCACTGCTTACTATTTTGGCTGATCTCGTGATGACGGAGATATCTGCAGTACTTTCAGAAACTTCATACTTGATTCAAATATTCAGTAATCAGTTCCACTTCTGATTCTTAATTGTTTTAGGCTCGAAAAGCTATGCTAGGCATGCAGAAGGCAAAAACTGCTGGAGACAAGCTGAAGATAGGCAAGTACATCCTTAAAGTCATTTTGGTTGTTCGTGATAATAGTTTACATTTGAAGGAGCGGATATTGTGCGGAACATGTTTGCACCCGAATTACCAGCTGTGGCTGAATTTTCCACTGGCGAAACGATGGGACACAGCGGTGATCGGCTTGCGGCTGCCTTCAATGTTTCAAGGAAGTTAGTTACCATTTTGGATGATTTTTCTCTTTTTCATATCTTCTAACCTTTTCATTTCTAACCTTTCAAGAGAGCAGGATGAGTTCGCCCTCCGATCGCACAAGCTAGCGAAGGCGGCAGCAGATGCAGGAAAATTGAAAGATATTATCCCTGTGTTTTTGGATGGAAAGAAGCCGCAAACAGTGAAAGTTAGTGAATATGTTCTTATTTGTCGTCTGGTAAACGGTGGATGTTTTACTTATTTCGACTTTAAAGCCCCTTTGTTTTGAAACCTCAGCTGCACTGTTTTCTGGTTTTATTTCCTTTTTTGTTACCTATGAGTTCTTGTTAGGCTGATAATGGTGTTCGTGTATCTACCCCTGAAAAGATGGCAACACTGAAGCCTGCGTTCGTGAAGCCTCATGGAACCGTTACTGCTGGTCTGTCACAGTACTTTCTAATTCCTTGTAAAGCTGTAAAACTGCATTCGCCGTGGTTAGATTTGATCGTTAGTATTTACTGTAATGGTGGAAGGGCATTTGTTGAAGTTTTCAGAATGTAGAAGATATTATATGATATATTAGTTCAAAATAATGATTTCCAGCTAATGCCTCCTTCCTGACCGACGGTGCCTCAGCTTGCCTCATTATGACAGAAGACTATGCCCTGGCTAACGGCTATAAACCTATGGCCTATCTGCGACAGTATCAATATGTTGCCCAGGATCCGAAGGACCAGCTACTTCTCTCACCGGCTTATGTGATTCCTAAGCTGTTGGATAAGGTACAAAAATCAGTTGTTTTGTTTTAGTTTCATCGTTGGCGTTCGCGTTGAGCAGCAATCCGCTTTTGTTCAGGCCGGACTTACATTAAAAGATGTGGATGTCTTTGAAATCCATGAGGCTTTTGCTGGACAAGTTCTTGCCAACCTCAATGCTCTCGACTCCGACTACTTCTGTAAGGTTCGTTTTTTCGAGCAATTTCTGAAACAAAGCCCATTACTCTACGTGAAAATGCCAAGAATCACACAATGTCTGGTCATTTCGTTTACCAAAACAAAATGTAGCTTCGTCAAATAGCTTCTTTTCAGGAGCACATGGGCCGGTCGGGTAAATTTGGACGCTTGCCAATGGAAAAGATCAACAACTGGGGTGGATCTCTTTCAATAGGACATCCGTTTGGAGCTACAGGTGTTCGGCTAGTCGCTCATGCAGCTGGTAGACTGAAGGTACTTGGCTTAGTTCTAATAATTATTACATCAGTCTAAATTACACAGGAACTTTACTTCATTTGTTACATATCGAGAAAGCTATATGCCTTCCGATAATTTCTAAGTTGCTGCCTGGTGTTATTTCATTTCACTTTTCGACGCGGGAGGAATTCTATTTAGTTTTGTGGAAGCGTTTTTGCATTTGTGCATACCTTACTTGGCTCCCTACTTTTCAGAAGAGAGCAGCTTTTTGGTGTCGAATAACTCAAATACTTGGAGACGCTAAGACCTGGTTTATCATCGGTCAAACGATTCTAATTTCACCTTAAACCATTATGGAGATATGTGAAAATTGTTTCGAGAAATCTCCTATATCCTTCCAAGCACACAACCGCTGTGACTATGCACAAATAAAGAAAGTAAGTACGAGAATCGAGGATTCAGACGGCCATGTGCATGCCAAGAAAATGCTATTACTGAAAGGATTCAGCATTATATAACAACCAAACAATCGACATGATAACAAGAAGCCGATCTAAAGATTCTACCAAAGTGAAAAAATGTGAACTGCCTATTACCTTTCTATTGTATCTGATTGGCACATCTGAAAGGAGCTCTACACCACCAGCAATGACTGCTTTCGCATTGCCAGTAGCAAGCATTCCCATGCCGGTCGTCATCGCTACGTTGGAGGAGATGCAAGCCAATGTGACAGTATGGGCAGGAATCTAAAAGAGGAACTAATAGTACTCATGTTAACTACGAAATGTTCAAGAGTATGCTCTCGAAACTTAGTAATGTCAAATCAATTCGCAATAAAATTTTTTTATTAAAAAAGGTAATTTGCAAACTTTGTCTATAAATGTTAAATGACCTTGTCGGGTATTCCAGCCTGCAGCGCAGCTTCTCTGGCGACATTGCTTGTCTTGCACTCTTGAATCACAGTGCCACAAATTATGTGGTCGATGTCCTTGTAAGGAATATGAGTGCGAGCTATCAAAGCTGAAAACAAGACCATACAACATGTAGAAGGGTTCAAAACGGAAATCCAAGATGTATCAGCTCAAATCAATGGTGACATTCTTCTAAGGTTAAGTTATAAATAAAGAAGGATATACACAGTATGTTGTGTAATTGCAAGCTTTTTTTTTTAGAACGAAGGCCATGCATTGGCTTTCATTTCAAAATCGTACGTAATGGCAATAATTGCGATTTGGCCAGTAAGTGATCTACACGACCCGCCAATGTAAAATCCATTGTTTCTATCCTACCAACAAGTTGATTCCATTTGGTCGCCCCATGAGAAAGGAGCCTTAATTCTCTGGCCACCACCATAGGGTTCAATCCCAAGACCGCGGGCGCAGTAAACAGAGCCGAATGCCGCCACGAATTCCACATAAGGCTATAAATTTTGTTAAGAAGTGAAATGAACTAGGGACCAAGCCAAGTCGCATATTCAGATTAGAACACGCGTCCCGTGACAATCTCCAATACAGCAATGCAAATATAATTGTTTTAGCGAATATTAATCACATGTACTGAGGTTTTTCCTCAAAAGTTTACTGACTTACTGTCAAGGGCCACAACACATCAAAGTCAACAAAAAAAACACTTGGAGTCGAACTTGTCTCGGCTCTGCCTTTAGGGTGCGTTTAAAAGTTTTGTATTGAGTTATGGACATAGCCACGCAAGAACGCTGACAGGACATGGAGCGCGGTAAATACTGCCTTTTAATCTTTTTTATACTGACTTTTCGAAAAACATTTGACGGCCGAACTCATGGCTTTGCAACTGC